TCTCGGATCTTTATAATGATATCACGGCGAAGCCGTTGAGAAAAAAAGAAAAAAATGAATACAAGAATTGCCGAAAAAAGAAATTTTATTAATAAAATTTGGAGTTATACATATAATGAACTAAACAATTACAATGAAACCAGTCAAGGAGGGAAGGTGACATTGAAGGGATGCAGTTCATATCATCATTTACAAGTATGATGGTAAGGTTGCTCCTTTTTACATATTTTTCCTCCCCATACTTGACGTTTACAGTCAAATCCCTTTGAGATCCTACTAAAGCCTTAAGAGTCTTAGTGGGGATTGTTTTATATCTAATATCATCTATTACATTCAATAATGTAAAATTGTCAAAATTAGAAAAATACAATTTATTAAAAAAAATAATTATGACGTCCTAATGATCTGGCCACTATGTTATTTTATGACATTTATTTGTAAAAATAAACAAGTATTATTTAAAAATTTGACCATTCATTTTTTGAAAAAATATATATAATAAACTAACATAACTACAGATCAACTTGATCTTTCTAATGAATGATCTACACATTATGATTTAAAAAATAAATGTTCGAATTATTGAGACGAGACTTATGATAAGTTCCACGACCCCGAACAACATGGTTCGGTATAAAATTGCATTTAGTTAGGGCTTTTTTAGTTGGCTTTTTTAAATAGAGACTTTTTTAGCTTGGGACTAAAAAGTTCGTTTGGGTTAACATTTTTTATTTTTTTGAGTGAAAAAATATAATGATTATAATTTGGATATGAGATTTTATCTTATTAACTTATTTAGTCTATTACCTTTTGTTTTTTTTTTTAATCCAAAAAATCTTATCCAAACGAAAGACAAGCGGATCCTTTTTTCAAATGTATATGTATTTGTTTTAAAAAAAACTTTTTAAGTCTTTCCATGTTACAAGATCTTAAAATTTTTATAAATGTTTGGACCAAATTTCGACGAGTCTAGTAAGTCCTTGTTTGGAAAGTAACTTTTTTAGCTTAAAAGTAAAAAAGTCACTAAAAAATTCAAAAAGTCAATATCATATATTAAAAAGTCAAAGATTTTATTTTTTTTCTATTTTTTGCATATTTTTTCGTAAAAAACTAAAAAGTTATCCCAAATATACTAGTTTTTTTATATCATATTTTAGTCAAAAAGCTAAAAAATTATTAAAAAATATATTCCCAAACGAGGCCTAAATACGGGAAAAAAAAAATTGTGTTGAATGAAATCTTAATAAAAAATGGTCATTTTTATTTTAAAACAAAATTCTATTTTGAAAATATTTAAAAAGAAAAAAAAATGTTAATATCAACTTGTTTTGCCAAAATTTTATTGGAGTGATTTTTCAGGGTGCAGTACAGTTTAGTTGCCTTTTTAATTATTTTATGAGATGAAAAAAAATTGTATTTGAGATGATTTGGAATTTTTTTTGTAATTAAATAAATAATTGTGAGAAAAAAATAATTATTTAATATATAAAATTTGACATTTTATCTTATTAATTATTTAAATATTTTTCATATTTATTCACTATTTTAACCAAAAAAAAAACTATTCCTACATTTTTTGTTTGCAAAATATTGAAAATCCAATTAAAGAGCTACTGATAGGAGTTTGTGGGCTCACCCTAGATTCACTTTAATGATGTTTTTGTGCGGTCTGCGAGTAAATCATCAATACAAATAATTAAATTGATCAAAAATCAATGCTCATGTAATTAAATCATATTTATGCTTATATAATGAACACTATAAGAAATAATGATTTTTGCGACGTTTTTTTAACGACGTTTTCGTAAACATCATCTTTATTAATATTTAACGATATTTTAAAAATGTCGCATATTTATTTAATTAAAACAATACCGTTTTATGATCAAAGGTGTTTAAAAGCGCCTCCAAATGCTGTACATCACACGCGCCTATTTTGAATATGAGAATAAAGCTTTGTAAACCCTCAGGTCTTCAGACATAAACATTGAATCCTCTGAACCCTTATCCTCACGTCGCGCCTCTCTCTCAATCCTCTCTAAACCCTTATCCTCACGTCGCCTCTCTCTCAATCCTCTCTAAACATTGAATCTCACATTCAAATCTCACAAATTCACCGATTTCGAAGCTCTACCTCCACCACCATCTGCACCGACGAGGTAGCGAGATTCATCGATTCAAATCTCACAGATTCACCGATTTCATATCGATCTGCACCGCCACCGCGATTTCGATTCAGATTGGTCTGCACTGCCACCCCGATTTCGATTCTCTCTCTAGATCTCTCTCTCAGAGATTCATCTTTGATTTCATCTTAGAGCGATTTTGATTTCTCTCTCTCTCTCGATTTCAAAGCTCCACCGCCACCACCATCTATGCAAGCTTCCATGGCTTAGCACCTCATCTTCTTATCTCTTCCACTTTGTATATACATATATATATATATATATATTTATCGATTCTCTCATGTACATGCACGTATCTGTATAGACACCGATCGATAATGGAGCAGAGCTTCTTCGATTTGATCTATTTTCTACACTGCCCAGGCCTCACCGAGACATTCCTCGACGTTTTACTCTCCTCAGTCCCGATTTGGCTCGCTATCATGATCAGCCTTGTTATCGGTTGGTTCTAGCGCCCTAGGTGGACCGGTTTTTAACCGCACATCATGTTCGGTTTCTTCTATATAGGTGTGTGTGTACATTAGTACTAACATTCTATAAATTTAGTGAGCAATCATTTTAGTTGTTGAGGTTTTTAATGTAATTTTTGGGATAATAAAGTATTTTTCATTGATTATAGGTCGGCTTCCTAACACAAAGAGGTTGAATTTGGAAGCTGTAGGTGTTGAGCTTGACGAGATGGGAGCCGTAAAGGTTAATAGCTTTTTCTTCGTCTTTTATTGCATTTGTTGTTCTTTGATGTGATGATGTGTGTATAGCATTGGCAATGTTTAAAAAATTATGAACAAGAGTGAGATTGTATTTATATTAAGTAAAAGAGTTAGTCTTAATTTTTATTTTTATTTTTTTTTTTGGTTAGTCTTCTATTAAGTAAAAGAGTTAGTCTGTTTTTTTTTTTTTTTTTTTTTTTGGGTTAGTTTTTCAGTGCTACGTGTATCAGAGATGGTTGAGTTTATTTTGGGGTTTTTTCACAGCATTTGCTCACTACTACTTCTCCCTTGTTTGGGTAACAATGTTTTCACCTAGATCTATTATTTCATGGCCTATTTGATGTTGGTGATTCAAAATTGTTTTGCTTGTGAAAAAAATGTTTGTACCATGAGAAGTTAACTTCTTTGAGGTTCCCTACCCCTTTGATCTTGTATTTCAGGTGGATGAGTTCTCTCGCACAAACGTTCCTAGCATATGGGCTGTTGGTGATGTCACAAATAGATTGAATCTTACTCCCGTGGCCTTAATGGAAGGCACCTGCTTTTCAGTGTGTGCTCAATTTGTACCCTGATTAGTTATCATCATTGAATTCTCATTTTTTTTTTCCGTTATTAATTCATCATTCAATTCTTTTCTTTGCCTGCAGAAAACTGTTTTTGGTGGACAGCCTACCAAACCTGACTACAGCAATGTACCTTGTGCTGTATTCTGGTAAAGTTTCTTCTGTTCTAGCAAATGCTTCATTTTTCTTCCCTCATATAATTCACCTGAGAGTATCCATCAGTATAATGGAAGTGCTAAAATTGTTCTTGGTGAGTTTTAAAGTTTTTATTCGTATTCAAAGCTTGATAGAAATAAGTTGTTCCAGTAGTTTCATTTTTCTAATGAACCAATTCTATTTATCTTTTTATTGAAATTTGTTTGTGATATATGATTAGCTTGTGTTTTTTTGTTGTTTTACAGCATACCACCTCTTTGTGTTGTTGGACTAAGTGAAGAAGAGGCTATTGAGCAAGCATAGGGTGATATTTCAATTTTTACATCAACGTTCAATCCTATGAAGAACACTGTCTCAGGGTATGTGATTGGACATCTAATTTAGTAGATAACTTTATAAGCTTAGAGGGAAACAACTTACCTTCTTGGTGTAGGAATTTGTTGTAATGTCATGGCTTGCAAGGCAAGGGATTTAGAATTTCTTCTTTTGATGATTCCTAATGGTTCAGTACTTTGAAGTCATTGGATTTTTTCTCTAGAAAACATGATTATCTGTGGAATTCCATTTGACGCAATTATGTATACAGACGGCAAGAGAAAAAGGTTATGAAGCTTGTTATTGATTCTGAGACAGATAAAGTTATTGGAGCATCCATGTGTGGGCCAGATGCACCTGAGATTATGCAGGTATCATTGTCTCTATATCGGGTTTCATAAAGTTCTTAACCTTCATCTACGTATAGGTTTGAATTCTTCATTCACTTGGAACTGGATAATTCATACTTTGTTGCGATCCTGAATGGATCATTGCATTGGAACCGCGCTACCCTCATGTTTTTTAATCTGGCATCTGAAGTTATGTTTGTTGAGCTGTGGGAGATTCTTGTAAGAATGTTTTACGGGGATCGTTTATTGTTAACCCTATGTGGATTGTTGCTTCATTAACCTTCTGATTGTTTCAATTGTCTCTAGATCTAATCGTGTGGTACATAAGTGATAACGTGTGGTACATAAGTGATAACGGCCACAGGAAATGGGAACATGGGATCTGGCCTTGTTATCGGTTGGTCGCTGACATTCATCATTCGTTACGTTGGTAGCTGATATAGTGGCCCACTTAACGTGTTGCAATGCTGGCGCTAGATGAGTCATAGAGTTTGCTAATTTTACTTTCTATTGGTTAATATATTTTGGGAAAATTTTGTATTAATTGAGTTTTTAAATTGGGTAAATATTAGTCATTGTCTTATGATTTGGCTTTCATTCACTTCTTCATATTTGTATGCATCTAGGAGTTGGTCCTACCATTATGAAAACATGTGTCCTGGTTTGTGCCTTTTGTTCATTAATTCATCATCTAAGAATGGTGGGTTACGATATTTTGTGACTTTCAGCTATTACTGTCAATAAGTTTATCATATTGGTGATTTGAGTGTTTTCCTTTCATATTGTTTTTCTTTTTTCAATGCTTTTTGGGTTGAATCGAATTTCTTTTGCCTCAGGCACCATGGTTGCAACGGTTGGACTCTTTGTTCTTTTCGTTTTGGGCACTAGCTGGGCATGTGATGCCAGAGAATTAATGACAACCGAACTCTCTAGTAGAGAAACGGTGATATCTGATGTTTCAGGTAGTTCTCTTTTTTCTTTTTTCCTCTTCCAAATTTATATAATTTTAAGATTTTAATGTTCGCAACGCATGATACTTAAGTATATATCCAAATAAATCAATGTTTTCTGGCTACAGTGTTGCAGATAAATCACCAGGAATCAGAAGGCACAATTAAAACTTCAGAAGAAGTTGTAAGGAATGAAAATGTGTGCACGCTGTGTGAAGAGTTTGCTGCCAAGGCAATTGAGTACCTCGAGGACAACAAGACTCAGACAGAGATGATTGATATCCTTCACAACACCTATGCTCGGCTGATCCCTTTTGAGCAAAAGGTAGTAACTGACATAAATGCCATTGGATTTGAATAAACTTGTTTGTTCACCATAATCCCGAGCTTTAGGCACTGTCAAGTTTCTCATGCCTAATTTGTAAACACTAATAGAATTAATGAATACCCAATTACCCATTCTAGGTAGTTATTATTAGATAGTGATGTTTTTCGGTGATTGCCACCAAAAACATCTGCAACCACATGATTTCAGCCTTCACTAGTTGATTGGTTATCTTGATCAGCAAGTGTTGGGATTCAAACTGTCTGTTTGCATGAATGGATCTATCATCTTTGTCATGTTGATTTGTATAAAAAATGAGTAGGTTCCCTTCATTTGAATGGCCCATCTTCTTCACATATGGTGATAATTGGAAGACTTACATCTATAATATTGTTTTGGCAGTGCATAACTTTGGTGGACTATTATGTTACTCTCTTATTCTCAGAGATTGAATTATTGCAACCCGAAGATTTCTGCCAAACGTTCTATCTTTGTGAACAAAGGGTACTCACTTCTCAGTCATTAGCTGAGGATAAGTGTGAAATTTTCCATCTTGCTATTTCGGAAGTTATAGTGAAGTTGAAAGATCCTGACACACAGGTACATATACTTCCAATCATCAGCTGATCTCCAAGAAATACAATTATAAATTGTATCTTTCAATTTACAACTGCAAATTACCTTTGTGACTTTATTTTGTTCTTCAATGTGGATTTCATGTCTAAAACTCATTTCTATCTCTAGAACATTTTCTTTCTAGTTGAAGACGGTAAACTCATTTCTTTATTTTTAATTGTTTATGGATGTAATATTCATTTAAATTGCAAATATAAATACAGAAAAAATATAATTTTTTCCTTTATCTCCACCGTATCCATATCCTTCTATATGTGCCGTACACATCTTAAATACTATATCTAGTACCTTATTGTACGTATTCTCTTATTAGGAAATTTGTTACCCACATTCAATGTTATAAACTCATATTTAGAACTTGTCCTTATTAGGGCTCCTGAAGCGTGGTCCTTGTAGCTGATCTTGTGGTTTTTCCCTATCAGTCTCTTCTTTCAAAATCATCACGTGAATCACTTGGTGTGAATCTAAAGAATGATATCGTTATAATAGATGAGGCTTACAATCTAGCTGACTCTCTTGTCAGCATGTATGACTCAAAAAATACAGGTATAAAAATATTACCCTTGTTTTCATGATGGCTTCTTTATTTTCTTATTTTTTTCATTCTTGACTTAAATGACTATAATGTCTGATATTTTTCACTAGCAAGCTTAAATTCTTAATAATGATTATTGGAGAATTTTGGTGAAAGTAAAATCATCAAAAGTTTATGACTATTTATCTTTCTCCTCTATAGTTGGAGCATGTATATTCTCAAGTAGGAAGGTATTTCGAATAACCTACTCTGATTGTGTTTTGAATTGTCATTTTATATTTTGCATTATATTTAAATGTATCAGAAATGTGTTTCCATTTTACTTTGTCCAACTTTTATGCATGTTTGCTGTTCAGCTGCTTCAGCAGCAGAGAATTAAGGATCCATGGGTACTAATATAGCTTTGCAGGTAAGGGATAATGCTATTTTCCCTCTACTGTTTGATTTCTACCTTTTCATCGCTCATACATTTTTCATTCCTGACTTGTTTTGTAGAAAATGGTCTTGCAAGTTGGTGGTGTGAATCTTCCTGGAGTAGGGACAGGACCCACAACAACTGCAGAGACTCCAACCAAAGTTCTATGCTTGACTGAGGTATGATTAATAGTAACCTCTGTAGTTCGACTTTTTTCTTCCCCATGCCAACCCCCTTTACAGTAATTATTGTCTATTCATGCTAATGGTGTTTCATTTTGGGGTACCATGAAGCTAATTACTACTGATGAACTGATGGATGATGGAGAGTATGAGGAAATTTTAGAGGACATGAGGGAAGAAGAGGAGAAATTTGGTGAGTGTTTCATCCCATAATAGTTGCTGTTGTGTTTTAAATTTGTGTGTACACTCTAATGTATGCCTTCCATTAAACAATCATCTCTATGAATTAAAAAGAAATAAAATGATTTGGACATGTGTTATACAAAAGTGCTTAGACAAGGACCTGATTACACCATCTTGTTATGTAGACATTGCATTCATAGCAAAAGATGCAAGTCCACATCCCACTAGTCATAATATTATTTAAAAATCAGAACATATTCTCACTTGACATGTCAAAAATGGACCTAAAAACTCTAAATATAGTAGAATAAAACTTAGAAAATAAGTGGCAGCCTTTTATTTTTAAAACTAAAATACTTTAATTTAAACAATAAACGCTTATTTAAATAAATAAATAAAAGAAAGAGAAGTTGTGGAAGCATTGAGTTTGACTGACCTGACGCTTGATATATTATATTAAATCATGTTTATTTCACTAAAATAGCAATAGATAATTCATCGTCCAAATCACTTTAGCTTTAAACATCCTTAGATGATGAATTTTGACATTTTTTGTTCCTGAGAGAAAAAAAAAATGAAAAAAGGTTAAGAATCTGTTGGGTCTGACTAGATCTTATTATATCCTAATTAAACAGCTTGATCACCAACATAACAACAAATTATGATTAGGTATTGGTTACTTTTGTATTAAACTCTTAAAATTGTATTATGACCTTTTCTTGGAATTTGTCGGACCTGATAGTATCAAAAATTCATGAATTGTAAAACGTGAAACGAATTGTAAATCGTGCAATTCACCATCGATTCTATTACAAAATAGATTTGCCCATAAATTTGCATTGATATAGGCATGAATCATGAATTTAAGCCTACAACCGATTAATGTTTATGATTAAGCAACTATTCAATTATTATTACACATTATGTACTTGAATGAAAGTTGCCATTGTGTTGTGCTCATGTCTACTGCTTCAGGACTTGTATTTACAGCTGATTGTTTCTTTATGAATTCATGGATGTCAATCCTGCTAAATATTCTTCTACTTGGGTGAATGTTTAGGAGTCTTGGTGAATGTCATTATTCCCCGCCCGTCACCTAATGGAGAAGAGCAGGTCCCAGGTGTTGGAAAGGTAGAACCATAAATTGCAACAATGAACATCCAAAAATTGCAACAATGAACATCCAAAGACGAGAATCAACCAAGTAGTGAATAAGTAAGTGATTCACCATTTTCACAAGGCCTGTAGTGGGATATAATATTGTTATGAACAAGTAGCAACAATAAAGGCATAGAAAAAGAAATTTTTTTTAAAATTCTTTCTCTTGATTCCTTGTTTGGCTAATGTGAATAAGATTCATTTACCATAAGTTAACATCTTGACAGCTCTTGATTATGGTTTAGACTCTTTAAGGAAGAAGGGAGGTATTTCTTTTTTCTTTTTTCTTTTTTTGACATTTTTGCCATAGAATGTCAAAAAGGTGGGAGTTTTTTTTCTGCTCAGTTGACGGTGCATTGATGAGTTGGGCATTGCTTACATCTGCCTTTTCTGTTTTCTCATGGTTAGTTATTTTCTTTTCTGTTTTCAGTCAATTGTTGGAGACACGAAATACAACAACAACTCTCCTTAGGAATGAATAAACCAATGAAGTAATATGGATGTATGAGTTCCAGATGCAATATGGATCAATTGGCTGGGCTGTAGGTGTGACTCTTGGATATGGACAGGTTGCACGGAATAAGCGAGTGATTGCTTCCATTGGTGATGGTAGCTTCCAGGTAATTATGCATACATTTCAATCTTCATTGCATATAATATAGTTTTGATTTTTGTAAATTCTCCTAGTCTTATGAATACTGTATTGGATATACTTCCTACGTTGATGTTTGTATATCTTCATCTTATGTCACATAGCATGCACGATATGAAGGATTATAAACTTAAGGGATTGCAGTAATGGGATTCACTTCTCTGAATTTGTCCTTGTTAACACCTATTTTGGTGAATGCTTGGCAGGTGACCGCACAAGATGTGTCAACAATGCTGAGATGTGAACAGAGGACCATCATCTTCCTTATAGAACCCGAGAATTTTTGTTTCTTAATGGATGCTTTCATAGTACTTACATGTATAATTAGTTTGAATTGCATCTTTTGTGCCGATTTGTTTTGTAATAATTTTTAACTTACCACTAGGTACTAGTTTAACTTTATTTCATTTTGGAATTGAAATATTTTTGCATATTGAGAAGCATGAATTGATCTAGTATTATGTTTACCTAAATTTAGTCAATATATTGTATATTTTTTCATCATTATAAAAGGTATTTTTTTTAGTTAAATCTCACAGAATTAGCACAATTTTTTTTTTTATAAAAAAATGAAGCTATAACGGCGTTTTTAAACGCTACTATAGAATACCAACGGTTATATTTTTAAAATAGAAAAGATCTATCACGGCGTTTTTAAAACGTCGCTAAATGTCGAGTGACGTCATTGTATCATTATGCAGCACATTTAGCGGCGTTTTTTAAAACGCCGCCTATACTGATACAGCGACGCTTTTAAAGCGTCATAAAGTTACAGCGACAGCCGCATCTTTGACGTTTGGTACTAAACGTCGTGAAAAAATTGGCGGCGTTTTTGATACCTATAGCGGTGTTTTTTAAACGCCACTAAAAGCTCAATTTCCAGCAGTGGAAGCATCTATTTTTAAAGGTGAAACACCAATAAATTTTAAAATATAATTTTGTGAACGGTTTAGTCTTTTTTTTTCTTCTTTTAAACCCAAAGGTCCCATTAAAATGGAAACTACATAAAAAGGTAGTCACTTACATGTTTGGGTTTAATTTTTTAGGGATAAAAATGATTTTCTCAAAATGTAAAATTACACATTTAGGCAATTTGCACTATAGAAGTTTAGGATATTCCCTCATTCTAGAACAAATTACACATTACGAACAAAAACCTAAACTCTAATATAACACTCTAATAACGTAATACTTCAATGTAACACATTAAAAAATTCATTATTATACTTTTCTCAAATGTAACAACGTAACACTCAAAAAAAATCTTTTGGTGTACGTTTCCCAAACGTAACGCTCCAATGTTAAAAAAAAAAAAAAAATTCCTTAGTGTACTTTTTCCAAACGTAACACTTCAATCAGTGTAATCTCA